ACGCATTGACCCCCCTTCCCCTCCGCCAGCACGCCCTCGCTCGCCCGGCCAAGGCGAGCATGGCATTCGCGACGCCATCTCGCCGCTTTCGCACGCCCCTCGCGCGTTTCGCGACCCCGAATTCAAGGCCCGCGGCGCGGCGCGGGCCCTCGCGGGGGCCCGGGGCGCAGGGGGGGTCGGCCGAGGTTGCGCCGCGCGGCCACCTCGCCCGCATCTCGCGGGAGGCTCGCGCTACCTCGCATATCAGAAAACAAAGCGAAAAAGCGCAAAACAAATGTAAACTCAATGAAACCTACGGAAACTGACTTACACCGCAATGAAACCGGATGAGACTGTTAACGGGCAGCGGGAATCGTGCAAAACCTGCCAAAACACAGCTGGCTCGCCGCCGCCGCTGGCTTCCTAGCTGCCGCAGGTCGCTCCATTTTGGTGGCCTGCTCCTGTTGCTCATCTTCCTGCCCCCCACCTGCCCGCCACCCCCCCCCTCTTCCCCGCTTCGTTTCCGAGCAGCTTGGAACGCGCGCGCGCGCGAAGAGACACATGCATGACAGGCGGAGGCACGAGGGAAAGGACAGCACATGGGCGGACCCTTCTTTAGGAGGACGTCAGCGCTGTAGCAGCACCCCCTGGCTCAATGGAGAAAGAGAAACAAGAGGGGGGACTTATGGCTCAGACAAGCTCCAGACGCCTCCCAAGCCAATGGACCTTCAAAATGGCTGACCGGAGCATCAGCGCGATGTGGCTTCTGGCCCTTTTTCTGGCTCGCTCGCCGGCGTCTTTGGCCTCTTCCCGATCGAGGTCGGCAACGACATCCTTCGGCACTTGGCTGAGAGTAGCCACAACGAAAGAACGGCAATTTTCCGAATGTTCCTCCACATGGGCCACCACTCTCACGCGGGCGTGGAATAACTGCATGCACGCAGGACAACGGTCGGTATCACTCAGGTCGCGCGCGCGGCGCCTCACACTATGCGCTGAGAAAGCATGGATGGCCAATTTCTGTCTCGCGTCGCAAACGCACGAACAAAAATGGCACGATAAAATGCAGTTCACTCCGGCCACGCGCCGGGTTTTGGCCCACGCCCTCACCTCATTGAACGCCCGTTACTGCCTGGCGTCTTTCAACGCCGCTCTCGAGCGTTTCGGATTGGAGCGGATCACTGGAACCCATTATTGTACGGGTTTGGTTGCGCACTCTGAAAACAAGCCAAAACGCGAAGTCTGCAAGTCCAAATCCGCAGAAACAGAATGCATCCAAGACCTGCGTACCCCAACGGCGCGACACAGCGCAACGCGCAGAGCGCGCGGGGCCCGCGCGCACACTCTGCCGAAAAGCACCGCCCGCATGCACACGATCATCGTCGCAGGTGCGATGGAAGACTCATGCTCAGGAATGGATGCGCGAGACGGGCAACGAGGGCCCTTCGAGCCTCCTTTTCAGCACTGATGAATACACCTGCATCACAACTGTGTGGACTCTCGTCAGCTCAGCAGCGCGCAACTGGGGCCACGCGCTCGCCTGGCGCAGGCCACGCGCGAACTCCACCCCTTGGCATGAAGGAAGCCGCGTTTCAACAGGAACAGAACTGCGCTGCAGCACTGCGCAGCGCAATGTCCGAACAACCCCTCTCAACGCACCGAGTTCGGCTGCGATCCCCGGGCGCGTCGAATCCGCGGAACATGTGAGCGCACCAATGCGCGCGCGCTGGGCCGCGGCAACCAGTTGGCGCCGCGCGCCGCGAGTCTCGAACAGAATGAGGCCCCCGGCATCGCTGAACAGCTGCCGCCTCCGCCTCCTTCTAATCGGTCTCGCCTTCCTCCTCCTTGTCGCCCTTATCTTCTCCGTCGCCGCTTTCTTCGTTGTCGCCCTTCTCAGCTGGATTCTCCGCCTCATCACCCCCCTTGCTCTTAGCGGGCTTCCTCGCTGCGCCCGTTGCAGCACGCCCTGCGCTTGCTGGTTCGCCTCGCTTGCAGGGCGCGCCATCGTTGTCGCCCCCCCCAAGCGACTCCTGCGCCTGCCAACTTCTCGCCCAAGGTCGAGACTGCCCACTTCGCGGCGGTTCTTCCTCGGGCGCGCCACTCGGGCCACGCCCGATGGCACCCGATGGTTTTGATGACGGGCGGCGGGCGAGGCGAGCGCGGAGTGCGAGACGGCGAGGGCGGGGAGTGGACACGGCAACCAGGATCGATCGAGGGCAGAGGGAAGGGGAGCTGACCTGGAGCATGGGAGGGGGCGGGGCAAACGGCCGCGGCCCGCTGGAACGCCCCCCCCCCCCCCCCCCCCCGCCCAAGCGCAGCGCCAATTGAGGGGCAGCGAACACGCGCAAACCCCGCGCGGGCCCCTCGGGCCCGACGCGCAAGTCCTGCATCTCTGACGAGGGCGACCGCCGCCCTCAACCTCCCCCGGCGAAAGTCGACCCACTCCAGCCCCATCTGCCCCCCCCCCCCCCGGGTCGCGCAGGCGCCGCCGCTGCTGCTGTTGCTGCTGTCGATCCCTCATCTCCCCAGCCCCTAACTTCACCCCCCCCCCGCGCCCCCCCGCGCCCTTCTCTCCCCCGCCCCTTCCCCCGAGCCCCCCCCGCCCATCCCCGGCGGTCGCCCTCTGCCACGCCGCCCGCGCGGCGAACGCCCGCGCCGCCGCTCGCCCCCGCCCCCAGTCTGCGCCCCTGCGAGCCGCGCTGGGAAGATTGAGGCCCTACATTGACGACAGCAAGTTCAGAGCGTCGACGCGCGTCGCCCTATTCAGGCGCCTGCCGCCCAGGGCGCGCATCAGGCCCGCCGCCGTCGGTCGGCGCCCCTTCGCCCAGGCGCGCACTGCAACGAAGCAGACTCACTATCCTCCGCGCCCGGGCTGTCCACCCCGCACCCCCCCTCGCGCCCTCTCCGCCCCCCCCCCCTCGCCCCGCGGCTCGCGGGCCCAGCCCCCCGCGGCCCTCCTCAATCGCCTCTGGCTCCGGCGAGCTGTTCCTCGCGCGGTCGGGGCGCAAGCCAAAGCTGCCGCCAACCTTGCAATGGCCCATCAGCGCCCGCGGGCGCGGGACATGAGACCAGAGCTACAATGGGCGCACGAAGGCCGGGAAAGGGAGACGGAGCGAAGAGAAATGGGCGCCTGGCAAACGACGCGCGCACCGACGGTTGGAAGGTCCAGGTCAGCCTCGCCCTCGTCATCGATCTCAGCGCCCGCAGCCTTCGGGGCGCTGGGAGGGGCGCAGAACGTCGGGGGCGGTCGCGCCCCAACGCCGCCACCATGGACGCTGGCCAGCATCCATGGCGGCGGCGCTGGGGCGCGGACCCATGACTGAAAGGGCCCCTTTTTCCTCGCCCGCGGCTTCGGCCATTGCTCGCCGAGCGCTCGTGGCTCGCGCGGCGCCGCGGGGCCGGGGCCCAGGTGGCCGCGCGAATTGCACATCCCGGACAGAACGCACACGACCGACTGACGCACCAGAAAACTTCGCAGGGAACGTCAGGCAAGGGCGCACGGGCCCTCCACGATGCCGCGAAACTGCCCAGACACTGGACAGCAGATCCGAACGCGCGAGCAATGCCGCCGCATATCGACCGCACGTCGGCCCGGAACTAAGACGGAGTCAGACAAGCAAAACAAAAACAAAACACTGAATGTGCGCGCGATAACTAAACTAAGCGCGTGCTATGTTTGTCCTAGGTATGGCGGGCTGCGAGTACTAATATACGATATGTCTCGCGCACGATGTGACCAGCATGATCGCGAATGCAAAGCTACTCAGCAAGATGATGTGGTGTTCGCAATGTTATATGCATTTTACACTGATACCATAAGCGCACATCTACCGTTTAAGAATGTTACATGCAAGCACAAAGCGGCGCATTAGTTGCACGTGACCCCATGTGATCAACATGTGTGGGGTTGGATATATATATATATATATATATATATATGTACATATACATATACATATACATATATATATATACATATGTGTGTGAATGTATTGTGCGAGTCTGTATATATATATAGAAATACATATGTATCATGAATGATAGCCGTCTCCTCCATGTTGACGAGATTACTCCATTTTGATGCGGTTACTCCATTTGGATGCCAGGCTCTGCCTAGAAGGTTCTTATCCTGTTCTCTTACAGGGCCGGGCAGTGGAGCTCGCCCAGGGCGGTTCCCCCAGGATCCGCCCCGCGGTTCATCCAGCTACGCCCCCTTAGTTTAGCGTTGCTTGCCTCATCTTAGCTTAGCGTATTGCATCTTAGCTTAGCGTAGCTTCATCTTAGCTCAGGTTTGTCTTAGCTTAGTTTGCCTTCATCTTAACTTCGCTGAGCTCTAGCATAGCAGAGTACAGCAAAGCATAGCATAGCGTAGCATAGCATGGCGCAGCACAGCATATCATAACATAGCCCTGCATAGCATAGCACGGCGCAGCATAGCATTGCATAGCATAGCACAACATAGCATAGCGCAGCACAGCACAGCACAGCACAGCGCAGCATAGCACAGCATAGCAGCGCATAGCATAGCAGCAAATCAAAGGCAAAGCAATTAGCATAGGTGTAATTCCCTACCTAGGATATGCCTAGAGGGCTAGCTTAGCTTAGCCTCGCATAGCGCAGCGCTGTATTGGCATAGCACAGCATAGCGTAACATAGCCAAGCATATCATAGCATAGAACAGCATAGCATGGCAAATCATAGCATAGCGCAGCGTAGCATAGCATAGCTTAGCTTAGCATAGCACGTCGCAGCATGACATAGCACAGCTTAACAGAGCCTAGCATAGCATAGCATAGCATAGTATAGCAGAGAGCAGCATATCATATCATAGCACAACATAGCGCAGCAAAGCATGGCATGGCATGGCATGGCATAGCATAGCATAGCAACTAGTGGTGCTTTCCTTGGGGCTCCAATTTCTAGGTAGGGTCGCACTGGGGTAATTCTGTTTCGATAGAAATGGTGCTGCATCAACGAACTGCTCCAAATTATCCGCTGCTCTGGGGCAACCGCCGGGGCACCGGCGGGTCTGGCGGCCCCCGAGCCCCCGTGGAGCCGGCCGCGCCAGCGGCGCCACTAGCGCCCGCAGCGCAGGTGGCGCCCGCGGGGAGGGGTGCGCCGGCGGCGCGCGCGGCCGCCCGCGGCGCTGGCCGCGAGTGCGGCGCCAGCGACGCACGTAGCCGCCGCAGCACCGGCGGGGCTGGCGGCCCCCAAGGAGCCAGCCGCGCCCGCGGCGCCACCAACGCCCGCAGGGCAGGTGGCGCCAACAGGGAGGGGGCGCCGGCGGCGCGCGCGGCCGCGGCGGCGGCGCCAGCCAGCGGGGCGGCGGCGCCAACCAGCGGGGCGGCGGCGCCACCCGGCGGCGACCGCGGCGGCGGCGCCTGTCGGCCGGCGCGTGGGGGCGTCAGGCCAGGGGCACCGCAGCTCCGGCGGCGCCGGCGGCGCGGCCGGCGGCCGCGCGCCGTTGCCGCCGCCGCCGCGCCGCACGCGTCTCCATGGCCCGGGGGCGGCCGGCCCGGAGGGAAGAGCGAGGCTCCCTCCCTGCCCTCGCCAGCGGCCAGACGGGGGGCCGGGCAGGCCCTGGCCGCGCAAGCTTGCTTGCCTCCTTTGAGCCAGAGCGGCTTGAGCCAGGGGGGGTACGGTACACACACACACACACACACACACACACACGCACACACACACACACACACACACACGCACGCACGCACACGCACGCACGCGCGCGCATGCAGGCACGCACGCACGCACACACGCACGTACGTACGCACGCACGCACGCACGCATGCACGCAAGCACGCAAAAATACTCACATGCACATATGTGTATGTATAGATGAATATGAAGATATTTGCATGTACATGAAAAATGAATGAAACCATACACTTTAACATATAGAATCAACACATGACGCAAAAACATGAACACGCCAATGCGCACGCGTACACTGCGCGCGCACGCATAGAGCTTGCACTCCGCGGAAAAGGCACCGCGTTTCCTTCCTCATTTCCGATGGTAACAATTGCCACTCCTGCTGACCATGTTCGGCCCCCTGCGTGCACATACCATGTGGCACACGGTAACATCAACACTGACAACTCCTGCTTTCCTAACAGTTCTAACCCTCCACATAGTACGACTGCATCCACGGGGTCCTTCCTCATGCCAAATACTACTGCTTCCCTCTGCCTTCATTACCTTGAAAGCCTGGTCCACACATTACACGGTGCAATGCCCCCCGACCATATAAAATTGATAGCCGTACGGATATCTTCCGCCTTTTGTCGAAATTCATCCATATAATATGCTTCCACCTGAGCGCTGCATGTGACACTATACAATGCTGTGCTTGTGCGAATGCATGCGCAAAGTCGTGCTCCCAAACCTTGCGTCTGCCTAAACCCGTGCTGGTCCGATGGCAGTCTGCCACGAAGGCAAAATCGACTGTCTACTGTGGACGACAAATACGACTGCGAGAGATCGAGCTGAAAATAACTCGAATACCAACGCAAACTCGAGGATTTGTACTGCTCCTCAGTCGCTTCGGGGAGACTTTGCAATATTGCCCAGCTTTGGCACAGGCCTCTCCGGTTTACTGGTACAGCTTGTATTTGTCCATGCAGGATGCCTATCGCAAAATTAGCATGTCTATTCCGACAGCAGCCGAGGCTCGCTCGCAAAAGGGAGCGGAGCGCGTCGTGACTGCGCAGCTCACTATAGAGCAAGATATGCTTGAGCGAGAGGTTTACTTCATTCATTCCAGTAGGAGCTGCACCGCATGGCATAAGTATCACAACCAATCGGAGAGATCCGTCGAGAAACAGTTCATATACCTAGCAAGCTGGCTTGCAGCCGATCAGGAGGTAGAGAGAGGGGGGGGAATGGTTTGCTCATCACTTTCACATGTCACAAGACGGTGTGTTTATAACTGTTGCTCTTATCAATACTGACCGTTTATCAAAGCTTCGCAGACAAATATGTAGGCATGAACATGCGCGTCGTGAATGTGCGGGCCAGGGCAGGTTGACGGACCCCCGTTAGAACGGGGTTCCGTACATGTCAGACCTCATAGCAATGGTGTAAGGGGACGGAGCCGCTCGGAAAAGTGATTTTCAAGTCCCTGAACCCTAAACCTGAGGACGTGACCAGAGTGTATTAGTTCATGCAGTGGGGGGCACCCCCGCATTTTCAGGTCGACCTCGAAATCTTCAGGTAGAACCTGAAATCTGAACATCTTGCGGAGCGTCTCGGGCATTGCTCTTTTCAGGGAAGGCCCGCCCAGGTCGACCTGAAAATGTGAGGCCCATGCAGCGCCACGCGGTGTAGAAACCTGAAAACGTCACCGGATGTACTACGTCATACGCGGGGGAGCACCTGAGCATTCTCAGCAGGATCCAGAGTCGAGGATCGATGTTCGATGTTCGAGGTTTGAGCGTCACAATTCGGAAGTACTGACCGATGCATCGGCGGCGGGGGATACGCGACCCCGACCTCTTTCCCGAACGACACAGAGATTGGGGCCAGGCGAAACACGGAACCGCTTTCCCGGCGGGGTCTCCAACCTGGGAACAGAACAATCTCCACCGTCTCCCCCGCGACGGGGGCTGAGCCAAATTCGCGAAAACTTTCGTAGACACGATGTAGTCTGAAATGTGCATCGTCTTATCGTTGGCACGACTACCCCATGTTAACGCCATCTGCCCCAACGATGCGGTGAAGTCGCACGCAGCTTCTCACGCACGACACGCACGACACGCACGACAAGAACACGAATTATACGATCCTGCGGGGCGGGCCAACAAACGTTTTACATCCCAAACCTCAAATTCAGCAGGGGGTGAAGGGCAGCGCCCAAGAAGCTCGAGGGGACTTTTGAGGCTCTGGTGGCTCTCAGGGGTTCGGGCACTCCGTGGATATCGCGCAAGGAACCTCTAGGAAATGCGCAAACCCCTTCCTGAAGGAGAGAGGAGCAGGAGAAGGTAGGGAGGGAGGGAGGAGGGAGGGGTAAGGAGGGACTGGGGGAGGGGGGTGAGCCCTGGCATGCTACTCTTTCTCATGGAACCCCTTGCTCATCGCACCCCCCTCCAGGCAGCACATGCCAGGCCGCAATATCAGAATCGATCGCGCTTTATGGCATGCGCTCCCTCCTCCTCTCCAAACTCCCCCCCCTCCTCCTCCTCCTCCCCTGTAGCCATTTTGGCTAAAGCTGGCAAGGCAGCTGGCCAGGTCAGCTTCTCCTGGGCATGCGGCGAGCCGCAAATACCAAGGCTCGCGCGGGGCCCATAGTGGTTAGCAATTTCCTCTGTACACTCCTTACGGAGCCAAAAGTGAGTTTTAAGTCCCGAAACCTGAGGACGTCACCAGAATGTATTAATTAATGCACTGGGGGCACCCGCGCATTTTCAGGTCGACCTCGAAATCTTCAGGTAGAACCTGAAATCTGAACATCTTGCGGAGCGTCTCGGGCATTGCTCTTTTCAGGGAAGGCCCGCCCAGGTCGACCTGAAATTTGGAGGCCCAAGCAGCGCTACGCGGTGCAGAAACCTGAAAACGTCACCGGATGTACTACGTCATACGCGGGGGAGCACCTGAGCAATTTCAGTAGGATCCAGAGTCGAGGATCGATGTTCGAGGTTTGAAGATTGAGGGTCGCAATTCGGAAGTACTGACCGATGCATCGGCGGCGGGGGATACGCGACCCCGACCTCTTTCCCGAACGACACAGAGATTGGAGCCAGGCGAAACACGGAACCGCTTTCCCGGCGGGGTCTCCAACCTGGGAACAGAACAATCTCCACCGTCTCCCCCGCGACGGGAGCTGAACCAAATTCGCGAAAACTTTCGTAGACACGATGTAGTCTGAAATGTGCATCGTCTTATCGTTGGCACGACTACCCCATGTTAACGCCATCTGCCCCAACGATGCGGTGAAGTCGCACGCAGCTTCTCACGCACGACACGCACGACAAGAACACGAATTATACGATCCTGCGGGGCGGGCCAACAAACGTTTTACATCCCAAACCTCAAATTCAGCAGGGGGTGAAGGGCAGCGCCCAAGAAGCTCGAGGGGACTTTTGAGGCTCTGGTGGCTCTCAGGGGTTCGGGCACTCCGTGGATATCGCGCAAAATGCGCAAACCCCTTCCTGAAGGAGAGAGGAGCAGGAGAAGGTAGGGAGGGAGGGAGGAGGGAGGGGTAAGGAGGGACTGGGGGAGGGGGGTGAGCCCTGGCATGCCACTCTTTCTCATGGAACCCCTTGCTCACGGCACCCCCCTCCAGACAGCACATGCCAGGCCGCAATATCAGAATCGATCGCGCTTTATGGCATGCGCTCCCTCCTCCTCTCCAAACTCCCCCCCTCCTCCTCCCCCGTAGCCATGTTGGCTAAAGCCATTTTGGCTCAAGCCATTTTGGCTGGCAAGGCAGCTGGCAAGGACAGTTTTTCCCGGGCACGCGGCGAGCAGTCAATACCAAGGCTCGCGCGGGGCTCATAAGGGTTAGCAGTTTCCAATGTTCCCTTCTTACAACCATGTCCCAGAGATCGCCCAGCCAGAGCACCAGGGCTACACAAACAGAAGCCTGCATACTTGGTTTGTCCAGTGTGTCCCCGAGAATGGGTTTGGGTTGTCAGACCATGCAAAAATACCACGTGCAAATGCGAGACACCGTGACCATCGAGAAAGTCATCAAAAAGGAGAGGGATTTCGACTGATTGTCCGAGGCTTTCCACCTGCCCAGGGCACCTTCGCGCGATGTCCATGTGGAGCAGGATAAAGACTTGGACCAGGAGCCGAAGCAGATCGAGAAGCACAAACAGTCGTAGGATAATGAACAGCAGTCTCATGATAGGAGTGATTCGGACTCAGACTCAGATTCAGGCGTTCATTCAGATAACGTCGGAAATCGCGGAGCCAATCCAGAAGCAGGACAAGTCGGGCCTCCGACGTGACTCGGCAACGGTCGAGAAGCCGGCCCAACAGCAGTGACGATCGCAAGGGGATCGCACATACTTCGGCATCCGCAATCTGAATGCCCGGTTGAGGGCCGAGGAAGTAACAATTCCTAAAACGTATAGGCGCAATGAGGACGATACTAGGATCCAGACACTTCGACAGCAGCTGGCAAAACAACATGGTGTAGCTCGCCGTACGACGGAGGACGTCGCAGTGCTTAGAGAAGACGCTGCCTCCACTGAGAGCCGCAGGGATCAGGAAGGTCCGCCAGCGCACGGGGCGCCGTTCGCACCTGGGGTGGCGGGGTCGAAGAGGCGGCTACATGAACCGAAACAGCCTGGGAGGGGGCGGAAGGGAGAGGCGGGGAGGGAGGGAGGGAAAGGAGGGAAGGACCGAGAGGGGACAAGACTGCCCAGCTTGCGGAATGACCCAGGTACATCCCCTTTGAGGAACATGGGCCACTCCGAACTCTTCTTTGCGACTGCGCGGGGTCTGCAGAGCTTCTCGCTTCAACGGCAGAAAGCAAAACCCCCACACTGAACACAGAAAACATATGGAACGTCCGACTCCAACTCCCTCGCCCAATGTAACTTGCGACCCGGCCCCGCCCTGGACGAGACTCGAGGGAGAGGGATGCACATCTTCGAAAGAGCGTGTTCTACCGCTGCTGGCGGAAAACCGGGGGGGGTCACTACCGGTTCGAACCCCTCCCCCCCCCCCCCACCGGAAAACCGGGGGGGGTCACTACCGGTTCGAACCCCTCCCCCCCCCCCAGCTCATCATGAAAAGGGGGGGGGGTCACTACCGGTTCGAACCCCCCCCCCCCCTCGAAAACCGAGTGGGGGTGCGGACAGTGGTGGGGACGGTGTTGGTGGGGACAGTGGTGAGGGGACAGCGGGACAGTGGTGGGGACAGCGGGGGGACAGTGGGACAGCGGTGGGGACGGTAGTGGTGGGGACAGTGGTGGGGACAATGGTGGGAACAGGGGGGACAGTGGACAGTGGTGGGAACGGTGGTGGTGGGGACAGTGGGAATGAGGTGGAAACACTGGGACAGTGGAGGGTACAATGGTGGTGGGAACACTGGTAAAGGCGTCGGCGAGGACGGCGGTGGGACAATGGGACAGAGGTACAGTGGGACAGTGGCGGGGACAGTGGGGACAGTGGTGGGAACAGTGGGACAGCTCAGTGGGACGGCGGAGGAGTCAGTGGGACAGTGGGGACAGTGGGGATAGGCAGTGGTTGGGTCCGTGGAGACAGTGGGGAGAGTGGAACCGTGGTGGGAACAGTTGTGGGAACAGTGGGGACAGTGCGACAGTGGTGGGGGCACTGGTGGGGACAATAGGGACGGTGGTGGAACC